TTTGCTTTGCGCTCTTCTGTGTGCCGCCCACTAACTGTTTCTTTTGCTCGGGGATTCTCTTTTCATCTTTTTGTGTGTGGAGCGCTGCATCCTTCGCTCCGTCCCTCCCGCCGTGTCTGCGCCACTCACACCGGGACACACGTAAAGGGACGTGAGCGCCAGCAGTATGATTGCGTCCACGAGCGCTGCTTCTGCCTCGTTGTTCCCTCTTTGTTTGGGGCCTTGTGTGTTAGGACTCCAGCGGAGTGTGTGCGCCTCTTCCGCCATCCAGTTCTCTTTTCTCTAATGGGTTTCTTTTTATCATGGTTGATGCCGCCTGTGTTGTGCCTGCTGCTCCCTCCCGCTACGTGTGTGTGTTGGGGCTGCCTGTTGTGTATTGTCTCTCTTTTCTCCTCCATGCAGACCCCAGCTGCTCAAGCGATATTGAATGATGGCGACAGTGTGCCGCGTTGTGTGTGTGTTGGCCGCTGCTCTGTGCTGCACGGCCTTGTGCGTGGCTGCTGCTGCTGAAGATACTTTCGCTGGGCCCCTCACAGGTGGTGCGGCTGCTGAGAAGTCTGTAGCGAGTGCTGCTGGTATCAAGGCAAGGATTACTTTGAAGGAGGCGGAGGTTCAAAAAGCAATGGGCACTTTAGAGGCTGCAAAGAAAATGGAGGAGGCCACCAACGATGCTGTTGTTCCGCTGGAGAAAGCGAAGGAGGCAGCAAAAATGGCCGAGCAGATCGTGGAAGCTATCAAGGTGAATGTTATTGCCGTAAGTAAGCATGGGGCAAGTGTTTTTTCTGTAGCTTCAAAGGTATCTAAGGCAGCAAGTGCGCTTAAAAAACCATCGTCGTCGAAGATAGTGGCCACTAAGGTGACAAAGGAGCAAAAGATAGCTGATGCCAAAGAGGCAACGAAGAAACTCCCAGAATTATTGACGAGCGTTGCACAAACCGTTTCGGATGCCCAGAGTCTGCTGCAGAAGGTGAAGGACGCAAATGCTAAAAGAGACGAGGCGCTGCAGCACGTCGGTTGGGTCGAGGCGAATTCAACGTCCGAGGAGGCCCACATTGTCATAATGGTGAGTGACGCAAAGGCAGCAGTGGTGGCTGCAAGTACTGCGGTGGACGCATCTCTCGCTAATGCGGAGTGGGGATATAGTGTCGCCCTGATACTTCAGAATGCTGCAAACGAAACAGACGTGGCAGCGAAGGAGGTGATGGCCGTAATAAACGATAATACTGTTGAACCAACAGAGGCGGAAAATACAAAGCTAAAGACTGCTTGGGAAAGTGTAACAAAGATTCCAAATCGTGTCACACCGGCGATGAGGGCGTCCAAAGATGTTGTTAAGGATGACCGCGAAGAAGCAGCAAATAAAATCAAAAATGCGCTGTCTTCTATTGACGCTAAATTGGAAGCCGCTGCCGCTGCACTGCAGTCAATTGTGTCGTCCAGATTAACCGCTGAATCTGCGCTGCAGAATGCCCGGCAGGAGCTCCAACAACTCCAGGAAGAGGCACATCAGCTGGAGCAACGGGAGAAAAAAGAGCCGAAGAAAGAGGACGAAGAACTCAGCCCTTCAAAGCAATTTGAATCCGCCACCACTACCACTTCTGATCCTTCGCTCAACAAAGACGTTGCAGACGGCGAGAAGCTTCTTGCCCAACATGCCGACAGTACCAGCAGCAAGGTTGCGCGGTTAGGTGCTCCACTGCTGCTGCTGCTGCTGGCCTGTGTGGCTCTGTGGTAAGCGGTCTGTGTGTGTGTGTGTCTGTGTGTTCGTGGGACGATGATGCTCCCACCGTAATTGCGTTGAGTGCTGAGGACTGCACTCCTGATTG